TATTTTTTTGCGGTGGCATTTTTGTAATTATTTTCGAGGGGTTTATAAGTTATGATTTATTGGTTAAAAGTTCCTATATTTAGTCTATAAGTTTAACTTCACAGTTCTCAGCCTAAGAGCACTTCTCACCTGATCCGCTCCCTATATATATATATATATATATATATATATATATATATATATATATGTATATATATATATATATTTATATATATATATATATATATACATATATATATATATATATATATATATATGTATATGTATATATATATATATATATATATATATTTATATATATACATATATATATATAGGCCATTGATCTTGGCCATTGATGTGAAAAAATAGATGGAACAGATCAAATTTTAAGTTGGAAATGCGGTGGCATTTTTGTAATTATGAAGAACTTTTATTGAAAATTTTGTAACAAATGTGCATCAGAATAGTCAAAAAGTGCACACGTAGTGCACAAAAGTGTAATACGCTACAAAGTAAAAATTGCACAAGCTGAAAAATTTTAACAATCATTTTTTACACGCATGAGTGCACTTTTAATTAATAACTATCCACTTTATACTTTTATAGTATAAACGTTTGCACATTTTTTAAAATAATCTCTTGTGTTTAAAGTTCATCTAATCCATCCATTTTCAAGTGATGGAAGGCCAAGATTTGTTCTCACTTTTCATGGGAAGACTACTTTTTACTTGAACCCACCCCTATATATATATATATATATATATATATATATATAGAGTAATCTTCCGGTCAGGTATACCTGACCGGAGCCGCCGTCCGGCCTCCTCCTTTTGGGGGCCTTCCCGGTGGTATTTTTTGCTCAAATGTTTTGTGTATGTTCCTCATCAAGTCTAGTTCGTCCATACCAAATTTCAGCCAAAAATTCAATCGGGAAAGTCGTCAAATGATTTTTGCAAGTTAACTGGTCCGGAATATGTATTTTCCGGACCAGTTAACTTGAAAAAATCATTTGACGACCTTCCCGATTGAATTTTTGGCTGAAATTTGGTATGGATGAACTAGACTTAATGAGGAACCTACACAAAAAATTTGAGCAAAAAATACCATCGGGAAGACCCCAAAATGGAGGAGGCCGGACGGGGGCAGTGGTCAGGTATACCTGACCTGAATATTTCTCTATATATATATATATATATATATATATATATATATATATATATATATATATATATATATATATATATATATATATATATATATATATATATATATATATATATATATATATATAGGAAATCTTTCCGGTAAGGTATACCTTACCGGAACCGCCGTGCGGCCTCCACGTTTTGAGGGCCTTCCCGGTGGAATTTTTCGATGAAATTTTTTGAGCGTATTCTTCATCAAGTCTAGTACATCCATACCAAATTTCATCAAAAAATTCAATCGGGAAGGCAGTCAAACGATTTTTGGAAGATAACTGCGTTTTATGTGTATATAAAGGGTGCAGTTATCTTCCAAAAATCATTTAACTGCCTTCCCGGTTTAATTTTTTGCTTAAATTTGGTATGGATGTACTAGACTTGATGAAGAATATGCTCAAACAATTTCATCGAAAAATTCCACCGGGAAGGCCCTCAAAATGTGGAGGCCGCACGGAGGCTCCGGTAAGGTATACCTTACCGGAAGAGTTCCCATATATATATATATATATATATATATATATATATATATATATATATAGAATAGAGATCAAATACAAAGTCTTCTTAATTTACAAAGTACAAACTCATCTTGACCGTCCGATGAGTTGATCCTCATAACTTATAGACCCCTCTAAAATAATTACGAAAATGCCACCGCAAAAAAATAATTACGGAAGCCTGGATTTTTTTTTGACACGATAGCATTTTCGTAATTATTATGGAGAGATTTATAAGTTATGATTTATTGGTTATAAGTTCTTATATTTAGTCTATAAGTTTACTGCGTTGTAAGATCAAATGCAAATCCAAGGACTGAGATTACTTCTCACTTTTCATTTTAAGGGACACTTTTCACCTGATCTTTTCCCTACACACACACACACGCTCGCACACACACACACACACACACGCGCGCGCACACACACACACACACACACAAGTAGGATGTTGTATACGAACCGAATCGAGTCGAATAGCAGGATTTTGTATTTGTATTTGATTAATTTTTTCGAATACGAATTTGAATTCAAATATGAAACGAATATTAATTTCGATTTGTATTTGTATTTGTTTAACAATACGAATAGTTAACGAATCTTATACGAATATCGAATAGATTTGAGCATAGGTTAAATATTAGTCAAATATCACTTTAAAATAAATTTTCTTATATTTTTTTATGTTGTAAATGTACGCTATGTCTTAATATGTGTTTTTAGAATTTAAATTGTGCATGATATACTAAAGTGAATTAATTTTATGATTAACAAATATAAATCTATTTCAAACTTTTAGAAATAAACATAACACACATATTAGAAATTATACTTACAATGTGTGAAATAAGTTGATAATTGTATACATCAAAGTTTAACGTCTCTAATTTTATTCTTCGAATCGAATACATAATTATTTGTATTGTATTTGAAAGACATTTGAACCAAAAATCTGATTTGTATTTGTATTTATACTTTGATTTATTACAAATGGACTAAGGATTTGTACGCATAAATGTATATATGAACTACACTTTAGGGTATTGCTATCTTTTAAAAGTTATTATAGTGTTATTACTATTATTATTAATATTATTATTAATATTAATATTAATATTATCACTATTATTAATCGAATATATTTGATTAATATTCGAATCGAATACACTGATATTCTTATTTGAATTTGATAACAACTCAAATCAAATTTAATATTCATATTTGTATTTGTATTTGAATTTTCCGAATTCGGATCACCTTATACGAATTCGAATCGCAAATCGAGCACAAATTATTTGATTCGTTTACAACCCTACACAAAGGTGGTCTTCCCGTGCAAAGTGCGAAATTTACACTTTTGCATGTTTCGCTTGCACTTTTGCTTGTTTCCGCTGCACTTTTCACCATTTCGATTTTGGCCAAATTCGGCCAAAATGACGGTGGCAGTTTTGTAAATAACCCAATTTTTTCTCCACCGCGAAAAAGTGCAACAAAAACAAGAAAACGTGCAAATGAAACATGAAAAAGTGCAAATTTCGCACTTTGCACGAGAAGACCACTTTTTATTTGAACCATCCCCTATATATATATATACATATATATATATATATATATATATAGATTTAGGTTCATGTGAGAACTTAATCTTAGGAGAGGAAAAAAGAATCGATCTTAACCATTGGATTAAACCTTTTCAAATAAAGACGTTTCTATATCGTAAAGGGCAAAGTTGATATTTTATCTTCTTAGTTAAGAAGATACGTTGCTTTCCATAACTTCCTCCCTAAATTTTTGGTCCAATTATAACTCTCCGTATGTGCCTACCTCTTATAACACACTTGCCATACACGTGTAAAAGTAATTTTGCATCACTATCTTTTTTTAATATTAAATTGATTAAATTATTTATCATTACTCTTTATGTTCAAATAATCAAATATGCATCCTGCGATCCAAGAATTCACTATACATGGTGCATAGTTGCACACCTACACTTCACTTAATGCACATTGCTTTTCCTTATGCACATTTGCAGTATATATATACAAATAAAACTAATGTGCATTAAGATGATACCTTCATAAACAAACAATTCTCATGTTGTTGGATGGGAAAGTGTATTTAGTTGTAACAAGTGTCAATGCATCATTAAATTGTAATAAAATAGTGCACTTTTGAACATATTTTAACGCACATGAAAAAGTGCATTTCATTTTGTTAGAAAGTGTCATTTATTAGTTGCAACATATGTCAACAAATCATTCTAGAAATTTTAATAAACAATGCACTTTTTAATATATTTAAATGCACATGATAAAAGTGCATTTCATTTTGTGAGAAAGTGTCAACGTAAAATTTTACAAAATGTGATATAATAATGCACTTTTATTTATATTAAAATGCACATGATAATTATTAGTGCAATATTAAAATGCACATGATAATTATTAGTGCATTATAATAATGCACTTTTATTTATATTAAAATGCAATATTTTGCATAATAGTGAATGTATTTAAGGTTAAAGTGCACTGGACAAACCTAGATCAATATCATTGATGGAATATTACATTTGAATAAAGATTGAGTATAAAAATAATGCACAATTTAAATGAAGAAATTTAAAAACATTCAACCGTATTAGTTGGTTACCGCAATTGTACGTTAGATTAATTTGGATTTGGAAAGATAATTTAAAGTATTTATTATTATATCCTAATTATAAGGGAGTGGAAGTGTGGAACGGTACTAAGTTTCCTTATTTTTAGATTCTTCACATATATGGATTGGTTCGTCCTAACCGTTTTTGGGGTGTTCATTACCCAAATGCCCTTTATCTATTGTTTTAATGATCTCCGATCAATTTTTAGTCAGCACGTGGCCATCATGCGTATTTTTTACTCCAAAATCTGTCCCGTACGATTAGATGAATGAAGAGCCCAGATTTGTTCTTTTTTCCTCTCCTGGGAGTCCGTTCTCACCGGAACCGCTCCCTATATATATATATATATATATATTATAGAATAAAGATCAAATGAGAACATTGCTTAACGTGAGAACACTACATTTACCCCAACGTATTGCACAATGAAGCTTGTATATTGCACTTTTCACATTTTCACTATATTTACCAAAATGCCAATGTGTTTATTTAATAAAGGTTCAATTCGAGCAAATTGAAAATGTGCAACAAAATAGCTCCATTGTGCACCGCATTGATTTAAATGTGAGTGTTCTCACGTTCTCACGTTAAGCATCGTTCTTACTGGAACCGCACCCATTATATATATTACGTTCTTATGAAAAACTGTGTGTGTAGGGCAAAGCTGCATGGATGGCCAAACACATACTCTTTCACAAAGGCAATGGGTGAAATGTTGGTATTGGCCTTTAAAGACAATCTATGCGCTATAATCTTACGTCCAACAATAATAACTAGCACCTATAAAGAACCGTTTCCTGGCTGGATTGAGGGTGCTAGGTAATACATATTGTCCAACTTCATCTCCATCTAATCACGCATATCCTATATACTTCCTCCGTTTTTTTTAGTTGCAACGGTCAACATTTCACACTTGCTAACGCACGTCTTTGACCGTAATTATATCTTAATTTCTATTAGTAAAAAAAAATCAGATTTTGAAATTTGTAATGAGATGAATTGAAAAATAGTTTTTTTTAAAATAATTTTTATAAAATAATAACGTAAAATGTAGTCAAAGTAGAACATATGAATAGCGTAAAATTTAACATGTTGCGATTAAAAAGAAACGTGGGATAGTATAAGTTTGTGTATTTGTATTTATAATATATACTCCGTATATATATTCTATTGTTCTACGTACTTTTAGTTTTATTATTATAGTCATGTTTTGTATGCTTTTTGTACAGAACCATGGATATCTTTGTACTAATGTATGGCAAAGGAAAATCAAATTTCATGATTGGCGATCCAGACTCTATACTTGATGTGGTAAGTATGCACAATTAAATCAGATCACTTAAACTTAAATATATAATTCGACCAGTAGGACACCGTATGTGACTCTCTCTAGGGTATGTTGCGCTTCTCCAATGGACTTGTTCTTTTGGACTTATTCTAATTTCACAATAGATTTCTTTTGGACTTATTCTAGTCTTACCAGAGATCAAACTAAATACGTTTAAACAAGCATACATCAGGCCCAAATAATCTAGAACATAACTAAGCGAACCAAATCAAATAAGAATAGACAAATTCAGATCATATTAGATCACACCATGTTAACACATCAAATTTGAAAATATAACACTAAATCAGACTAGACCGGCCAATTCAACCATATCAAGTCATACAAGAATAAACTAGACATGACCTCACTTATACATACAAGACCATATTAGACTAGATCACAAGGGACAATAGCATCATGATATGATGTGATGTGATGTGATGTGATGTGATGTGATGTGATGTGATGTGATAGAGCTATAGACATTTGATTATAGAGTTGAACTTGAATAGCATAGTGTACCATTTGATATTGCTTTGAATTACACCAACACATTTTACATACCCAAAGAATCATTACTATCATTCACATTCATAAAATTTTAGATTATATACATAAAATGGAACAGTGTCACCAAACTCTGGACGGGAAGTGTGAACACACGCACTTTGGCTGAATTAGATAAACTAAGTTGAGGATGCATAAAATAACCTCAAGAGAATAATAATATATATGAAGCAAATGGCAGTAGGCAATTTCATAACTGAAATTACTTCAGTGCTTAATAAGATATAGAGTTTTTTCATAACTTGCTGCAGAAAACAAAATGTAAAATCAGCTATGTTTGATTATTGTACTCTCTTTTTTTGCCTAAGGCACTGTGACTCGGATAGAGACAACCTGAATAACTAAATATATTGACCCGGCCAGTATAAAGGTTGTAACACCAGCATACGAATAGAAACCTCGACCTATAATAAGATTGATGTACCCGGAAATTCAATACTACTTCCTTTGTCCCATTAATTTTTTTCATGTTCGATTTGGATCAGAGTTTAAGAAAATGATAATAAAATGAAAATGTAGTGTTATGGTTAAGTAAGAAAAATGTAAACGAATTTTAGTCACACAAAACTTTTCATAAAGGGAAATGAGATAATTTTTTAGAACATATCAAAATGGTAAGTGAAAAGAATTTTATGAAAACGAAGAAATGTGATTTTAGATGATCAAACATGTATTACTGAACTACATTTATTTTATAAATCATCCATTTTTTTGTATACATTTAAAAAGTGAAATGGAATTTATAGTATAGGATTTTCAACTAATATATGATTTTTAATTACGATTAAATAGGCATTATGTTGAATAAGCATATTTGTACTTTATACCATTGTCTAGACAATATTCTTAAGCTTACATACGATATATATCAGCTGGTATTAGTATTTTGAAGAAAAAAACCAATACCTATATAATTGAGGGGGTAAGACTGTAGGAGTACATTTTAATAGTGCAGGAGTCTGAGTGAAATACATTGGACCTCAAGATGGTCATGTCAATGATAATTTAACTCACAATAAACTCTTTATCTATTAGAGTCAGGGCAGAGGGATAAGAGATCAACCAAGGCTCCGGCCCACCCCAAATTTGAAATTTATTTTTATTTTTAATGTAAAATTTATCTAAAAAAATCTTTGTACTGGTCTACCCCCGACTTTTGCTTCTTGCTACTCCTTTGGTTAGAATTTCCCTGATTTTAAATATATTAGGAATAATATCATCCCGTGCATCGCACGAGTACTATATAATTGTTTTTTTAAAAGAAACTACTTATATTAAGAACAAAACAGTCACAATAACACCCAAGTCACAGGATCTAAACTTCCCTCTTTCCAACCCATACCAAAAGCCCTTCGACCCCCCTCACGTCATGATCAGACATAGAATAGTCCAGCCCGCAAAGAGCGAGACTATTCGCTGAACAGTGAGAGCATAGAGACGATTAGCGGCTGAATTAGTCTGATTGCCTCCAACAACTTTTCTACCAACAACCAACAAGGAAAACACATACCCACCCCCTTATTGTGCAAAACAAAAACAACAAGCAAATTGAGTCTCAAGTAAAAAAAGCAATAGAAATAAAACTGCATTGGATGGAAGTCTCTGGTTTCCATCCTTGCTGGATCCTCCTGCCTAATCTTCAAATGCATGTCACGCGGGCATGGTAGCCCACCTCCTCCCCATTTTTTGTCAATCCCCTCTCTAATTTTTTAACCCGGTAAGTTTCCAAAAGCCCGCAGGTCTTTTGGGGGTGGGGGGTAGGGAACACCCCACCAATTTATTAGAATATAAAGAAAATAAATAGAGTAGGAGGACCAAACCAAAGCCTACTCGAATTTAAATAACATAAGGAAAACTGATCAAATTTTAGAATACCAACAAAGTGATTAAAATGATGATCATTGGTTTTTTACCGAAATATTTCGGTGAGCTAAATACTCAGAAGCCCTATTTATACTCGGGTGTATGTGCGTGATAGACCATTTGTGTGTCATGAGTCTCTTCTTGATATTTTGGATGTGTGGCCAACAACTCCAATGGTGGATTGAGATACTTGTGAGCCCCTCGAAGACTTCTCTGTTACCTACCTCTATTATAATATTATTGGTACTTAGAGTCTTGACAATAGGGATAAGATATATCAAGGCCTCATAAGTGGCAGTTGTGCCATTCCCATGGGATGTCAGATGGGTTTCATGCTTAACGTACTTGCCATATTCATCACGAATGAGGGCAGCCGTACGGATGACGTTCGGTTTGAGGTTCCGAGAAGCCATGTTAATTTTGAAGAATGTGGGTGGTGATTTTTGCCAAACGTTGAGACTAGGAGGGTTTTTTTCCTTCCTTGGGGTTACCGTACATATGTTGATCAGGATATAAGGGTTGGTACTAGGGAACAAATTGACAACCGACATGGCAAACATTTCAGTTTTAATAACATTAATGGCCTCAGTTAGGAAAGGCTTTTTATCATCAAAAATAACTTTGTTCCGGACCTTCCAGAGCTGCCATAAGATAATATTAGGGACTGTGATGTTCAAATCCACAATCGGCTCTCTGGAGTTATTGTACCACCCTAAAATGTAGTTCCAAATGGTAGTATGGTTTGGCGGCCTGAATTTGAAAATAGTTTGAAAGTGATTCCAAATCTCTCTACTGAAGGGACAATTTAGAAAATAATGATCAATGGTATCCTGGTGAGGGCAGATGGGGCATTTAAAAGGGCCCAGAATATCAATTTGGTTTAGTTTGCTTTCAAAGGCAAGATTTGATTTTCAAGCCACCATATAAAAAAAGAGATTTTTTTCCACCATTTGCAATGGAGACAAAAATTCATTATCTTTTGGCTTGAGAATATGATGGAATAAAGAAAAATGACTCTCTAAACTGTCTGCGCTTCTTTGTTATGAAGCAACAGTCAGTCTATGCAATTTTGGACGCGATTTTCACTATGGGTCATCCAGAAATAGTCTCTCTGTGCTTTAGTACATGGGTAAGACTGCATACATCCGACCTCCCCTTACTCCACCGTAGGTGGGAGCCTTTGCAGCACTGGGGTAAATGAAAATGATATGAAATGTTCGTGTATTCCAAACATAATCAGCTTTTGATTTTGAGCTCCGCCTTTGCCGAATAACATCATAGGCGTTAGAAAAACTGAATTTGCCATTGGGGTTTGGTTTCCAAATGTGAGCATCCTTACTGTCATTGAAGCAGATGTGCAAGGATGTGATTTTGTCACACATGTATCTGGGCAGGTAAGAGGCAACCGTATCAAGTAGATTACCACCTGGCATGGTGCTACAGATGTTCAGGTTCCTGATACTCAGTGGGACAGTTTCCTGGTGGTAGGTGTAAAGAGGCCCCAATTCAGACCAGTTCGTGTACCAGAACGGGCTGTTTCCTTGATTAACCTGCATTTGACAATTGTTGTTGAAAATGTGATTGACAGATTTAATGGCATTGTGCATAACAGAAAGGGAAGTATTTTTGAGGGAATTATACCAATAAGCCCATAGACCCAAATCATTATTCCAAAGAAGTTTAAGAAAAAAGTTTTTTTTGAAAATAATTAAGGTTTCTGAACCCCAGGCCATTTTCATTAACCGGATAGCAACACTTTGTCCAACTTCTCCAAGTATACCTATTGTGGTCAGAATTCTTATCTCAGTGAAAATTGGAAAATTTCCTTTCCGTTTTATAAATGATATTCCTAGGGAGAGGGGAAACAACCATATGATACAGGGGAAGGGAACTGAGCACATGTTTAATTAAAATCAACCTACCACCAACAAAAAGAAGCTTGTGCTTCCAGCCTGCTAATTTTTTATCAAACTTGGCTAAGATATGCTTAAAATATAAATTTAGGGTGCTGCCAGTAAAGATATTGGCCCCCAGGTATCTCCATCCCCTCTCTATCTCCATGTCCGCTTGCAGAGAGCCGAGTCTTCCTCTGCTTGGTCAACCCTCATACGCTTCTGCTCAATCTTCTCTCCTGTAGCATGATATTCTTGCTCCTTATGTGAACCTCTGTAACACTTGAGATTTAATATAAATGGATTAATAGTACTACTCATAACAAACAAGGTGCATCTCCTTTTAAGGGAGCTCATTAACCAAGAACTCCAAAGTTAAGCGTGCTTGCACGGGAGTAGTCTTGGGATGGTGACCCCCTGGGAAGTTTCTCAGGGCGCGCACGAGTGAGGACAAAATGCGCGGAAAAGGCTAGTGGCGGTTTGTGAGGACAGTACTAGAGGTCTAGAGTAACTACCTCGGGGCCTGCGGGGCCGGGGTGTTACAAGCTCCGTGACCATCCACACTCGATGCATTGTTGCTGCCTTCACCTTCCTTCCCTTTTCCTTTACCCACTGGAACTAACCACTTATTCCCGCTCGACAATACTCTCCCCTTCGAA